AAGAGTGTAAGAGAACGTTGTGACTGAATGTAGCTGAATCTCTGCTGTCAAGAGAGCTCTGTTTTATGGAGGGGGGAAAATGGAGACAGCTTGAAGCTCAAGGGCCCAGAAGTATTTTCCCATTTTTGACATGTCGCTCCAGCAGATAGCTTTGATTGGGAGAGGGGAAAGCTGCTACCCCGGCAGCCTTTTGTTTGATATGAAAACAGAACAACCTGTTTTTAGTTCTTCTCTATTTAATATTTTTTGCATAGCAGATACATTTCAAAGTATGCATGCCTTTCTTAACCCTTCAACTGAGCTTTCCCAGATCCCAGAAAGCTGATGGGGAAACTCATTACTGCCAACCACATCATTGTTTGTGTTCTCTTTTTCGCTGCCCTCAATTTTCTTCATCTAAATATCAGTGTACGTTATGAATCCTATCATCTGTAAATCTTCATTGAGTTAGCTTTCAAAAGTGAACTTTGCAACGCTGATTTGGTACGCCTGAGTTTGCAATATTAATTCTTGAACATAAAAATCCTTCAGGAAGACAGGAATGCATTCGGTGTGTTGGTCATTGTTCTGAGCTCAGTTTCATCTCTTCCAATGATATATTGCTATTCATTTGTTCTAAATGTAAGCTATATTTTCAGTGCTGCATGTATGGCATATGAAGGGGAAGTTGTGCAATGGCTTTGGAGAGCTTTATTCAAACCGTTGGGAGCAAGTCTGGCTGCACTAAGCACAACTGTCAAGTGAAGCAGAAGTCTTGAATCACCAGAACCCAAACTGATGCTTGAATCAGCTGGTAATACTGGTATCAGGCCAATTCTGACATGGATGCCATTTCATAATAGACTTTACCTCTTAGTGGTGTGTATTTAATATCTACATTGTAAGTAAAATTTCAATGTTCAGGACAGTCCTGAGTTATCAGATAACTCTGAAGTGACATGCTATGGGAATCTTTTGAAACAGACTTAAGCTTAAAGAAAAAGAAAGCCAGGAAATAAAAAAAAAAAGAAACAAAAGCAAACTAATTATACTAACAGATACACATCCCTAACCTCCCAATAGTCTTGTACTCTTATACACCATATAAGTGACTTCTTGCAAAATCATCCTGAATTCTGACAGACTTCATTGGTGCAGTCTTTAACATCATTAGTGTCCTCTTTCATTTTGTCCACCAGGGCTGGGGATCTTGATCTAGTAATAAGCTTCTTGCCAGAAGCCCCACTAATTGAGCAGGGACCGAGTGAAAAGAAGTCTAAAGGGGAGTGACTTTTATGCTAAGGAGGCCATGCAAAGGTGTAGGTTTAACAGCTCAGACAGACATAATGCCTACTTCCTAACAAGGAACTCACACCCACCTCTGAAATTGGCCCTGGCTGTAATTTTACCAAACCGAAGCATTTGCTAATAGCAATGATCTATTAATAATATGCCTATAATTACGAGAGCACCCAAGAACAGAGCTTTCTTTTTCATATCATAAAACCATTTTTAAAGCACGTGAGCATGAGGGATCAACTCACCTGTGTTTGACATCACTAACCGGCCCCCCAGATGGCCAAAAATCCCAGTCGTTCTCAGCTCGCTTCTTGTGGAAAAAGAGGAAAGGTTCTGAATATAAGTGGTTTTGTTCCTGGCATGTATTGTACTGAAGCTTCTGTTGTTCCCGTGAGGAAATGTCCCAGAATGTGCCTTTCCATGATATTCAGCCCGGTCTGTCACCCCCAAAGAAACCATGAATGAACTCTGAACTTTGACCTTGATGTCTGACAAGGGGTTAAAGAGTGATGATTCTGTCATGAGCTCCTTGTCCATGGGGTCTTGCAGGCAGATGGGTCCGCTGTATGTTCTGCTCACTGTCAGGTCAGGCTGCATGGATGAGTTCAGAAGGAGGGAGTTACCTGATGAAAGGGAATTGATTGAGCACTCAGTTACATTTTACATGAAAGGCAAACTCTTCTGTGCACAGGCTTTCCAACTAACATGCCTAGAGATGCTAGGATTGAATTCCAGCAACCGAGGGAGTACAGGGAAGCGAGGTACCCTTCCACAGCCACTCCACTTGGTCACATTTTCATTTCACACAGTATTTTCCAATTTGGGGGGCAGCTCAGTGGCTAAGGTGGGTGACTGGGAATCAGGACACCTAGCCTGGACTCCTGGCTTTGCAACAAAATTATTGCATGATCTGGGACAAGTCACTTCAACTGGCATTTCCAGAAACGCTAATCCCACAGCAGCAAATTTGAGCTCTTAAATCAAGCAGAGATGCCTTTCAAAATCCCACTCGTCACCTGTCTGCCTGTACTTCAGTTTCCGCGTCAGTACAACAGAAATGGTACTTCCCTAAACAACGGGGAATGTTGTGATGTTTAATTAATGAAGTGCTCCGTCATCAGTTGACAGGAGTTGTACTAGATATTCACAATATTGAAGAGCTTGTCTGTGCTTCCCTCAAGTTTTAGCACTGTTTAAATGAATGCTATGATTTTGTAACCTAAATACTATGATTTTGTCCCTGATCCAGAAAGGCAGATCTCAGCTCTTTCAAGCATACAAGGAACATCAGCGAAGTCACTGTGGTTCTCTATAGGTACCAGAGCCCTGCTGGGGCAAAGTCCACTTAGATGGTGTGCCTTAGTGCTGAATCATCCTAATTTATTTATGCAAGCCAAGTGCATGATCCACTCCTTCCATCTCACTGTTCTGTCAGCTTGAAAAAAAAAATACAACCCAGTTAAAACTTTAAAACAAAGCCATCCTCAGGGATGGCTATATAATGTAGCGTTCCAAAAAGGCTTAGATGCGAGGTTTTGTCTGTGTTGTTTTGATGATTGCTCCGAGTGAAATCAGCATGAATTCTTCACCCTGGCATCCTCCTCCTGACCTCAACGCTATCTCCCATCTGGCTTCTTGTTTCCCTTTCTAATGCTGTCACAAATGAGAATCTCATAGGGTAATGTTCCAAAGGAGATGAAACAATGCAGTAGATCTAAAGGATACTTGATCACAGTGTTTTTTATGCTCCAGGCAATTCCAAAGCATGTGTAGCCAAGAAGTGTGAGGGGGAGGTGATAAATATATATATATATATATAAAAATGCAACCTCACCGCGTAGAAAAGCAAGCTTCTTCCTGGAAACCTTTTCAGTGAGCCTATGGGAACGGACAGATGAAGGTTTAAAGGAAATTAGGTTGAACAGAAATGTGGGACAACACTTCTGTAGTAAAAATTGGCTTCAAATCTAATTCTCAGACATTTTTTGGCTCAAAGAATACCCCGTGAAAGGGGGAAATGACTTAATCTAAGCCCTAAAGTTTTAAGATCGTCTTTTGATTTTTGATTCCCAACTGAAAATGTAGCAGGGGTCTGGTTTTCAGAAAAGCCAGAGCTCATTTGAATCTTTGAAAATGAGGCCCATTTCAGGTGTTTCAAGTTGGGTTAGCATCATTAAAACTGACTCTTTTTTTTTTAAGTACAGGATGTGGATCACTCAGGAAACCCATTTCACACAAGATATTGGAGCTTTTTATATTGTTGTTGTCAAATCTGCTGCAGAATTTCCGACAAATGATCTGCTGCAGTTCTAGCATCTGCCAAAGATTTCCCAACACCAAAGAAAAACAAGGCTTTAGACATGTTGGCTCCATACTCATTGTGGATAACAACCGCCTTACTGCATTTGCATTTTTCTAGCAAGATACTGCATTTTGTATTATTTCCCATAAGATGAAACTAAGTAAGACTTGTTTTGTGACTATCAATTGTTTTAAGGGCCATTTCAAAGACCCAGTTTAAAAAGTATTTTTGATGGCTTTGGTGCCAGTATAAAACCATAGCAAACATGCTTCTTGTCCATCGACTTGCTCAAATGGTATGGAAGAACCAGGTTACATCTAGATGTTTGTTTCCAAGTGACTGATCTGTCTGTGTCCTTGTAAGCTAAACTGGGAATAAGAGAAGAATTCCCAGTGACCTCAACTCTTTCCTATCCAAGGGAAGTAGACAATTCACTAAGTTGTCCTATTCCTCACTGACATTAAGAAATATTGCATACCTTTATGCATATATACCATTTTATTTAACATTGTTCTACTGCTAGCTTTCAGTATGCTATAGCAGCATATCCTAGTCCTTGGAGAATGCTTGTCTTTCCTTCAAAGTGGTAAATGGATTCTGAAAAGAGACTATTCTATACCAGAAGCTTTCAGATTTGGGGAAATCAGATGAAACTACTCATTGCAGAAACACAATTGTGAATATTATGGCTCATCTTCTCCCGTGACATAGTTGGGCTGAAATGCTTTTCTGAGCTGACTTGTGATTGCCTCAACAGAAGCTAAAGCAGCTGAAGGGTTGCTCACGGACTGTTCATTTAACTGTAAAGTAGCAGGGAAGAGCTGCACTCCATCTTCAACCTCTGCTGCATGATGTTTGGGGACTGAGCGTACTGGCCTGATGCTAGCAATGAGTAATTTTTCTGAGCAAAACAATATCATACTCCAGTTTCTTTGCACTAACTGAATGATGCAAGGGTGCTGGGGCAGGGCGATAGAATCTGACAATTCTCTGAGGATTTTCAGTCCTCCCAGGGTCTGTGCTGGGTTCAGTATTATTTCATATCATTCATTAATGGTTTAGACAATAAGATGAAGTGCATCTCTAGCCAATTTGTGCACGACACCATGTTGGGTAGAGCTGCCGACGCTTTGGAGGGTAGGGCTAGGATCCACTGTGACTTGGATAGACTGGAAAAATGGTCCACAATCTATCAGATGAGATTCAACAAGGACAGGTGCAAAGTCCTGCACTTGGGGTGGAATAATTGCATGTGCATATACAGACTGGGGATCTGCTGTAACATCCATGCCCTTGTCTGCAGCACTCGGAACCCATTACTGGCTAGGTTGCAGTGCTGCAGACAAGGGCATGGATGTTACAGCAGACCATAAATAGCCAACAGTGTGCTGTTTTTTGCCAAAGGAAAAAAAAAGGCAATGGCATGTTGGGTTGTATTAACAGGAGTGCCACTTGCAAACTCAGGGAAGTGATTCTTCTGTTCTATTTAGCACTGGTGAGGCCTCACCTGGAGCACTGTGTCCAGTTTTGGGCCCCACGCTTCAAGAAGGATGTGGCTACCTATGGATAGATTAAAGAGTCCAGTGCAGAGGGACAAAAGTGATTAGGAGCCTGGGAAGCAGGACCTATGAGGAAGGCCTCAAGGAGCTAGAATTATTTATTCAGGAGAAGAGAAGACTGAGTGGGGAATTGAGAACAGCCCTCACATACATTAAGAGTAATTTCAAAGAAGATGGAGATTTTTTCTGTGTCTGTAGGGGACAGGACTAGAATCAATGGACTCAAGCTTCAGCAGGGGAAATTTAGGTTGGAGATTAGGACAAAATTTCTGACTTTGAGGCTGGTCAAGCATTGGAACAGACTTAGGTAGAGAAGTCGTGGAGTCTCCATCCTTGGAAATTTTGAAGAGCAGGTTAGACAGACAGTTGGCTTGAATGGCTCAGTCACAGATAATCCTGTCTCAAGATGGGGGCTAGATTAGATGAAGTCCTTTCCAGCCCTACTTTCCTATGCTCTTAACGTCAAAGTCTGTGCTACTAAATCACACCATAAAAGGGTAGATTTCATAAAAGACATGATGCAGGGAAGAACAATCCAAGCATTTTCAGGTTTTGCAGGTTTCAGAATTTTTTTTGTGGGAGAGAGTCTCCAATCCCTAACCATCTTTCTAGGTTTTATATCATACTCCTCCCCGTGTTATTGGAGTGCTTTCATCTCCTTTATTGCTGCGTAGAGTTCTAAAGAGCTTTACTTTGAAAATATCACAAGGCAGAATTTGGAAACCAGATCCCAAAGGTATGAAAGTCAATACAAAGGTTCCCACTGGTTTCGGTGAACTTTGCATCAAAGCCCCACTGGCCTGAATGCAGCAAAACACAAGCTTGTGCATCAAATTTTAAGTAGAGATGCATCCATAAGCAGTGAGGGTGAGGGTAAGAACCAGATGTGAAGTAGTAGTAGTGTGTGTGCGCGTGGAGGGGGTCTCTCCTTTGGTTTTCTGTTTGTTTGTTTGGTTTGGGGAGGGGCGGATTGCTGTGCTTTTCCCTTTTTTCCCATGTCTTACAATTATTAATTTTAAAATCCTATAATTACATAAACTACATAAATCCTAAAAAGAAACTGAAACTTCACTAATAAGACTAACAAGAGAAATGATCTGCGCCTCTCTAGACTTTGTCCTGGATCATTGTTTATGTACCATTAAAAAAGCCCCAAATCCCAAAGCAGGATTTAAACAGCACATTGAATTCCAAATTAAATAAGAAGTTAATCTCAAATAATGTGAAAATGACATCATTAAAATTATGTTCCACTCATCAGAACAGGTTTGAATCTTCAAATAAAGGCATTCATTTCCACTCCCCTCCCTCTCCTCAATTTCTTGCTATAATTAGCACCTGGTAAGGAATAAGTCCCTTGGAAAGAAAACGATGTTAAAAAAACAAAACAAACAACCCCCACCCCCCCACCCCCCCCCAAATACTGCAACATATTTCACTTCCCGAAAGGAAGGAAAAAATACAAGGCTGCTTTCACATCCCACCAACACACCATCCCACCTACAATAAGGCTACCATCTAGTTTAAAATAATGGGAATCAGATAAATAAAATGCACTGTTTTAAATTGATCACCACCTCAGTTCAAAATCCCACCTTTTATCCAAACAAATATTATTCCAGGATGTATTTGACACCTGCTTAGCTTTACTGAACAGAATGTACAAAAGGCTATTTATGCATGCTTACTAGAATCTGCCATCAGAAAATCTATAAGGTATTCAGTACTTTGATAGCATATACAGTGGGATAAGTTAGGACCATATGAAATTAGCGGCTCATCTTGTGTTCCCACAGCAAGACCATGGCAGAGACCAGCAAAAGACCACATGCATCCCATTTGCACGAGTCCGCTTTAGTATCAAGCTGCTGGGGATTGCCTGCTGCCATTCTCTGATTGCTGGCTGCAGCATCCGTCTCCATAGATGCTCTAAGGGAGGAAGATGAAAACCTAACACTAACCTTGCCGGACTGTTTTAAAATTAAATGTCTGGAAGCCTCCTGTCAGCGCAGATGAGTCAATCACATCCACACCATACTCGCTCTGGCTCCGTCTATAGAGAGTAACGCCCACTACCAGCACAGCTACAGCAATGACTGCGGCTCCCAGACCCGAGTACAAGGCAATATCGCTGGCATTCTCGATATCTGAAAGGAAAGAAGGTAGACACCAAATAATTAGTGACAAACACACGCAGATCCCTTGACTCCCTCCCCCAACACAAGAATGAGAAATAATAAGCATCTTGCTATACCTGGGAGGATAAAGGAATATTAAGTTGCATCATTTGGGGCCTAGGACTTATGATTTTCCATGAGGAATATGCTGAGATTTCCAGGCAATATATTAAAAAACAACAACAACAAAACAGCAAGGCCACCAAGGGTGCTCCTTATGTGTGAATTTTACTTTAGTTGTCCTGTTTCATGAACCATTTTTATTAGTTAACAAATGGAAAAGGCATTAACAGAGAACAATTTATAAATTAGCTACTTTAAGGAAATGGTTGGCACTGCAGTTAAGTTTTAGCACGGCCATTCTTTATGCTAGAGGCCATGAAATCAGAGAAGAGATCTTACCTGGCTTAGCATCCTCCATATCTGCATATTCCACAAGTGTGTGTGTGGGGTGGGCGTAATATATATCAGTCCCCAATTCAGCCTTGGGGTGCTGACTTTGATACGGTAATGTAATGCATCCCTTTAAGGGGAGACACCAGACCAGCAACCCCCAAGGAAGGTTCTGTAAAGGGCCAGGTTGCATCTAATCTCTTTCTTGTTTCCAGGTTTCTACAACCCATCCTGGAAGAAGCAAATCATGACTGAAAGATAGGTGAAGAGCTTTGAGACAAGCTTAGTGAAAATTTCCCCTCCATCCTCTTCTATGTGTTTTACGGTGACATGGATGATCCTTGCCTTTTCAAACATGCCGTGGAGCAGAAGGAATCAGCCTTCAGAGTTCTGTAGGCTCTCAGGGAGCTGATGCAATCCCAGGTATTATTTGGGATTTCTGCAAGCATCCATTGCCATTAAGAGAAAAATATTTTCGGTTGGGCATGTAACGCACTCCAAGCCATGCTCACCCCTGGGATTCTGCCTATAATCAAGTTTTTGAAGTTTTGAAACTTTGGTAGTCAAGATCTGCCAAAGCTGATTCATTAATCTAAACTGGGACTCTCAGCACTTTGTGAGAGATTGCCCAGTCCTGGTGTATAAGATCTTGTGGGATTTGGGACCATGTACCATGAAAGCGGATTCATTGGCAAGGATGCCCAGCATATGGACAAAACATCTTTTAACCACTTCACAAAAGGAGAGGAAGCTGCAGCTGAGGAGCACACATCTGAACTTGCAATGTTACTGTGACATCTGCACAATCCTGCAGTCACCTGTTAGTAGCTTTGCCCTAACTTTGCTTCTGAATACAACAGGGCTCAAACTGCAGGGATTTACTGAACTTGCATTACACTACAAAATCATATGGGATAACAGTTGCATTGAAAGAGCTTTCATCAGTATCCTCTGATGCTGATACAGTTGTTACGGCTGACTACACTCTTAGAGTATCCTTAATAATATGCTTTAATATACACATTATAATCTGCTTATATGCCATGCACTAGTTTAAAGAAAGAGGTGGTTATATGGTCATGCTGTTTATCTTCTACTGTCACACAGTGTGGTACTTAGATTACCAAGTGTGTAGAAGCATCTATAGAAAAAAAAGGTGTATTTATTTTAAACAAAGAATGCTGAAATTAAGAATGAAAAGGGAATTCAAGCCAAGTATTTGAGGAACTGCAGAGTGAAAAGAGTAAATTGCAAAACAGGGTAACGGCACACATCAAAAAGCAGAATTCAGCCTGGTACAGACAGCCAGTAGGCCTCTGCGAAGCAGCTAGTATTCGCTTCGGATTCGGCCGATTCAGGGGACAGCGATTCGATTCGGTGATCCGAATCACTGTCCCAATTCGATTTGGCCGAAGAAAGCATTTCAAAGAAAGCGTAAGAATGAACCAGGTGGCCAAACAATTTTAAAAAGAAAGAGGATTGCAGGATACTAAGGTGATATGGGCCAAAAAACACTGGACGATGCCACCACATCCCCTTGCTCATTACTTTCAGGGAACAACCCATCTCATTTAGCACGGCAGCTTAAGTTTAGAGTTGGCTTCCTCAGTTCCCAAAAAGTACCAAAACACAATGCAGAAGAAACCCTCCTTAGCTAGGTTTGATTTTCTAGTTCTCTACTGAAGCCACTTCAGTCTTGCATCTGTCTGTGCCCAGTGCAGCTAGCAACCTTGATCAACTAAGGCTAATCCAGCCCTTAGCATTAGGTGGAGGATTTTTCAGTGTTATTTTAGTACTTCTCTATGGTGATGGTGTGAGAATCCTAGCTGCCAACCAGAGCAATTGCAGGCTGTAATCAACATTTTTGACCCTGAACAATCAGGAAAAGCTCTCACCATTTTTTTTTTTTAAATTCTAGAAACATGAGACGGTCAAAAACATTGGTCTTTTTAATGAAAATGGTTTCCTAGTCAAAAAACTTTTGACAAAAAGTCTGGCATTATTATTTTTTTTGACAAATCCTAAAAGTTTTTAACAAAATAAATATTTTGAATTTTGTTTCACCTATTTGACAGGAGCTGATTTTTGTCTCAATCTGCTCTACCAACAAAATGCCACCGCTATTCCACGGCAGTATTAATGAAGGGGGCAGCTCTCCAAGTTTTTAGATTCTTACCGTTTTGATATATTGCTGTGGGAATTTAACATGTCAACTACTGAATGGAGAAAAAGGGTAGGGTTTGTTTTTTGGGGGGGTTGCCATTTTTCAGCCAGAAACATCTGACTGAAATGTATCAGTTTTCAAAATGTCATGGTGCATCTTGGTAGGGGTGTGTTGAAGTTGTTGTCACGATGGTCCAGAAAATATGCAAGAGGCAAGAATTCTTGTGGGTGACAAATATCTTTTTTTATTGGACTAACTGCATGGTTGGGATAGACATAGGCAATCTTTTCAGTATTTAGTACTCTTCTTTAGGTCTCTGGGAGGGGAAAAAGACACAGCAGAGCTAAGCAGCTGATGGGCCAAAAGCTTGACCAGTTTTTTACACAAGCTTTCGGTCCGTCTGCTGCTTAGCTCTGCTGTGTCTGCTTTCCCCTGGGGCCTGCGGAAGGGTACTGTGATACGTGATGTCTGTCTCAACCAACTGTATAGCTGGTCCAATACAAGATACAACTCACACGAATTCTTTCCCTGACGTACCTTGTAATTTATTTCAAATTTTAGCAACAAAATAATAAAATGTAGGTGTGTGAAATGTTAATGGGGGTGTAGGTTGTAGCCGTGTCGGTCTAAGGCAGACAAGGCAGGACATAGGCAGACAAGGTTCCTTGGATGAATCTGATATCTTTTATTAGACCAACCCAAATAGTTGGAGAATAGTTATTAAGCAAGCTTTCGGGTTCAGTCTGATGAAGGGTTTTGAACCCGAAAGCTTGCTTAATAACTATTCTCCAACTATTTGGCTTGGTCTAATAAAAGATATCAGATTCACCCAAGGAACCTTGTCTGAAATGTTTATGGTTTTCACATTTTTGAAGTAAAGAGTTTTATGTGTGCATGTGTGTATGTATGTTCAATGGGGAGGCAAAGTGGTGTCAAAGGACGAAAAAATGTTTTTGAAGGCCTGGAGTTGAAAAACGTACAAAAACAGCATGGGTTGAGGGGGGTATTCGCTGTGAATGCAGCCCCATATAATTAGTAGGTTTTTCTCAAATTCCTCCCTGAGTGATAAATCACTGATGTGGACTGAGACATTTCTCAATGACTAGGAAGAGATCATCTCTAGAAATGTTTCAGAACAGGAGAGGAAAAGAATATGAAATGATGGAAAACAAGACTGATTGTATTTGTTCTCAAGGTCATGATATTTCTTAAAAGATTTTACATTTTGAAAATAAAATAACAGTTACTCTTAGTCAGAGACTTGTGGCTTTGCCACAGGTTTGATGCCTTTCTTTTTTTGCTGCTGCACAATGGTCTGATTTTTAAAAAGTCAAATGTCAGGCTCCATATTTTTTGTTTGTTCTTTATCTTGAGTAAAGTGTATCCCAAGTCACGTGTGTATAAAAACAGGTTTATAATGATCCCATATGGTACCCTGGTGATGTTGGAGCCTTTCATTCCTACTGATTTTTTCTTCTAGGCAAACGTAATTATGGCGGTCTCGTAGCCTGTCAAAAGTGGTTGGGAAAATCAAGAGGGAACAGTGCTTCCTTTCCGCTGGAGACCCCAAAACTGGACATTTGTAAATTGTTTTAGACAGTTAACCATCTGAACAGGAACTGGTACGATGTACTGAACTCTCTTAAGTCCCCAGTCCACTGCCTTAGTCCCAAAACTGGCATTCAACCTGTTTCATGCAAAGCCCAGGAACATAAGGGAGCATGAATCAACTACGTGCACATTTTTTTCTCATTTACCTCCCAAAACAAGCAATTTTATTCTTAGGTAATTAACTCCAACTCCATTCCTGAATTAATTTTGTGGGCAGTGACTGCACTGAGTGAACCAGGAGTAAGTAGTGTGTTATTTACCCGTAAAACTCCAGAAAGGTGGTGTATAGTTCAGGGGTAAAGCAAATCAGTCAACAACTGCATCAGCTTCCCATGTCTTTTCAGGACTAGTGTGAGTTGATGATTGTTTCGAATGTTTACTTTCTTGGAAGCACTTCCTTTATTCATACTTTGACTATAAAAAATAGTGGAAAATCTTAATTGCATTCCTGCCTCTCCCCATTTGAAATGGGCAGTCACATATATTTGAGGTCAGAATCTGACCTATCTGCACAAATATGCTTCTGCCACAGTCGCACAGGTAATAACTTAGCCCTCGATGTCAGAAGGGGATATGTAAATCTCAGCTTTTTAAAATATTGCATGTCACCTTTTAAAAACTCTTGGGATAAATTCACTGAGCAAATTCCTTAACTGTGTAATGAATAGTTATTTCTGTTTCTAAAATCTTAAAAGAAATGTAGTTTAATAATGTAAGTAATTGATACTCTGATTTGGACAAGGAAGGGTCAGCCAGTTTCAATTCTGAGTTTCCATATATTAGCGCAAGACTGCCATGTACATGTTATAGATGCAAATAAGAATAATTAAAGCCTAGGCCCCTGACACACACTGTTACACAACCCCATGTTAAAGCAGTTAATGGCATCATAAAACAAGGAATAAGCCACAAAAGTCTTCCATAAAATTACCACAAATGTGGTAATAACCATGTGGTTATATGGTAATAACTTTGTGGCTGGTTCCTATCACACCATTAATTGAACATGTGGCCAGATGCTCCTGCGAGTCTGGGGGCCTCATGATCCTAGGCTCCCCCTACTCTGGCAATAACGTATGATGGGCTCTGATGCTCAGTCCCACAATCATGCCTCTTGCCATGTGCATGTGGCGTGGCAGGAAGCATGTCTGTGTTGATCACACATCAGATCCCATTGCGTCTTTACTTGAATGTTGTCTGCCAGGGGTTCTCATTACAGCAAGCCAAAATAAACCAAACCAGTTTTGTTTGTGCAAAACTTATCTTTTGTACGATGTTTATCGCTTTGATTTTAAAAGATAATAAGAATGCACCACAACTATTCCTTAAGAAGGGAAAATGCAACAGCAGAAGTGACTCTTAAGAGTCAAGAGACAAGGAGAACTTGTAATAGCCAACTATAAAGCATTACAAAGCATCACTGTCAAAAGGAGCAAAAATGGCACTTGTCTGAATTTGGGTCTATGGGAAACTGCTGCTTAGAAGCGCTGCCTTTCATCTGTGTTTGGGGCATTGTTATTTCAAGACACTTTCATCTCTTCTCCCCTGTAGCCTCTTAGGGAGGATTTCCTTCCCTTGGGATAAGAAAAATTCAAGAAAAAGGATCCATGGCAATGTTGCTCCTGCGGTTATATGTCCTGCCCCCCGTCCCCCCCGTCCCCCCCTTCCCCCCCACAAGGGATTCAACTGAAAAAAAATTGCAGTCAACCAATTACTATTTAATGGTCTGCATCCTCCCAACCCAGACGAGACAGCATCTCTCTTACAGCAATAAGTTTTTATACTTTTTGTTACAAGGTACATGTTTGTGGTAATTGTAGCCTATATTTCACTCCACCTCCTGACATTGTTACACAACATTTATTGAAAGCACATCTGACGGTAATGAAGTTTCTATTAACTACGATTAAGTTTCATAAAGCACCTGAAGATAATTTAAGATGTGCAGAAGCAGAAAATGAAACATTTGGTTTAGTACATTAGGAAACGTAATTGATTAAATTATCTAATTTACAATAAGTGCTTTCCATGAGCGATTCAGGGCCTACATTGCCACCAGTTTGCCATTACAGTTTGCTAGGAGATTTCAAAGATTTCTCTAGCTTCCTCCCTGCTCCCACTTCTCTCTCTGTTCATACCCTCCAGCTACTGGAACTTTTTTTCTCTGTACACCCTTCCTAAAGGATGTGGAAGTCCTAACGGATAGGAAATGCAACTCAAAGCCAGAAAATCATGTACACGGCTTTTTTAGCAAAACGAGTTGTTTCTCAATTATCTTCATAATTGACTTTGATTTTGCATCAATGATGATTCATGTAGTCGTAAACTCAGGCCCTGTTTCACCGAACAGCGCCAAACGCTATTTATATAACATACTTCTAACCTCACATCTTAAAGAAACACAGTTTAATTCTCCTAGGAACCGTGTGTACAAAAATTGATTCCATTAAGGTTATATTTTCAATGAACCAGAAATGAAAGTGGTTTGACTGATGCGTTGTTAGGATCCCATAATTAAGTGGGAAATGCACAAATAAAACTGTAGCGTAATAGACTCTGACACAAAAATTACGGCACAGACCCACAGCGCATGATTGTAGGGGTATAATCCCACTAAAACAAAGATTAGAGAAAATTACAAGGTTGAAAAATGCAAGCTAACCAGAGCATGCTTAGATTTGCCTTCTATTGGCTTTGGGCTTTGATTAACTCAAGAAGCACTTCACAGTTGGAAAAAGTGCAGGGAAAACCTCTTATGCAACGTCACTGGGCAGTCATGGGCTTAATTTTAGGATGGACACCTATACAACTCCAGTGCATTATAAATGGAAAAGCTGAAGGCTAGATGCTTTCAGCCAGTTAAGAGCTCCAGATATCCATGAGGATAACTGCATTTTTTTTCTCGGTATTATTACATTATATTTTTGCAGCAATTTGTGTACGAGACCTCCAGCCTTTATGACTATAACAGATAACAGTTGGTGATGTTGGTTGTGAACCCAAATGATTCTTTCAGAACATGTGTGTATTGGCAAAGCTCAGTCTGTTAAGTTGTTTTTACTGAACTTTGTGAATCCCCATGAAAATTATCATTTTTTCTGATACCTAGAGTCTGCTATATGAAAGCCTCAGAAAATAGAGTATGTTAGGACTGCCAAAACGTCAAGAAGTCCTGACTCACGTGTCCACTATTAAGATTAAGAAATCAATTCCAAAATAATAAAACATGCAGAAAAGCCTACCGTTCGATTCACAGGAACAGTCATTTAAAAATTTTTATTCTATGCTCTATGGGCACATCTACACGAGATGCTGTGGCAATGTAGTTTCGATGGACACTAACCGTGATGGTGCCGCTACTGTGCAGTAGGGTCGAAAAGGACCCGTGCGCTGCCGGGACTGCGCAGTACCAGTAGGGACTGCGGAGTCGCCTAGTACTTGCTTTAGCAGTACCAACTGTGCAGTCAGGGGCACATGTAGACGCGCCTTATCATTACTAAGTCAGGAGAAAAATGCTTCATATAGGTCCACATGCCTTTCATATAACCCTCAGTTCTCTTTAGCTTTTAAACAAGTAAAACAATGTCAGCAAAGATGAGAAAGATTATATTTACAAGAGAAAAAAAATAACTTACTTTGGGGTTTTATTTCATGAAGAGGTTTTTTATCTAAAAAGAGAGAGAGAAAGAGAGAGAGAGGGAGAGAAAGTTGCACTTAATAAATGTATATGGAGTGAGTCTATTTCCTATATCACTTTCCGTCTAGTTCTATAAGTGAAACATTTTCTCCTTGTTTGCTGACAATATGAGCTTTTTATCTTGTCTATATTTTTTCTTCATCTTCTTTTAAATCTCTTTCAGGATACTGCTTTGTAGTCATTTTTAGTCGAGTTCTGGGTAGCTAGCTTTCTTGCATTGTTTTTTCATGTTACATATTGTGCACATGTGTAAAGATTATATATATACAGGCAGATTCGGATAAAGTCAGTCAAAATTAAGTATGATTCAGTATGCTACATAGTAGATGCAATGAAATGAATACTTTAAGCAGTGGTTCTCAACCTTTTTTGGCCTCAAGACACCCCTAATTAGACCTATGGCACCCACCCATCTGTAACTTTTGTGAATCGAGTGGCACCCAATTTCAAAAAAATAATTTATACACCATATTACATAGTTTACCTCCTTGCAGGGGGGGCAGGCAAAGGATTGTCCAAGCAGAAACAAGCTTAAGCCTGCACTTATCTACTAACCTTATCTGCTTACACCGCATCTTGTGCCACCCTTCAGAGGATCTGGCAGCACCCCAGTGTGCCTGAGCACCCTGGTTGAGAATCAGTGACTTAAAAGGAAACTACAGCACTTGTAATTATACATCATAACTATTATATATGAGATAATTAGTGCCTATTATGGTATATAGATAGCTATTATATATTACAGGTATGGACAGCTATCAAAATAGGTATTAAAAAGAGCACATATGACAATGTATACATTAGAAGTATCTCTATATAATATATTTAATATTATAAAGGAGGTATATTATACAATATACATAACAATATGCAGTGGGTAATTTCCACTAACTAGATTTCACATAATGTGAATTATATTCATATGAACTTCAACATCATTTGATATTCCTGTGCCTGGTTCTTAATACAGTAGGAATGGTGCTGCTCGCTCGCTCTCTGTCTTTCTCTCTCTCCACAAGGACTTAATTTTTGGTGACCCAGTCCTAGAAATTCCTGTGAGTTAGCATGAGTAATTTTCACTGCAGTTCTGTTTTAAATAAGTAGTTAGAAGTTATTCATAAACTGGCTCATTAGAAACAGGTGAGCCCCCATATTCATTAGTATTGCTAAGGCAGGAATTGGGTGGAAGCAATAAGGAACACCGCAGGCGTCGCTGGGTAGAGAACCAGTGGAAGGTTGTGAGGCTTCTATGATTTTGCTTTTAGTTGCAAAGACAACGTTTGATAACTAATTGGGTGTGCTATCTAACTGTCGCCTGACAATTCATCAGGTACCACTAGCATTGTGCTGGAATCAAGGAAAGATAAGGAACAGCCAGAAACCATCAGGAAGAACAGACAAGGATCTGTTAACGCTTCTTTCCAGTCTGTCATTTTTCTTCCATTCCCGGGTGTTTCTCAGCATTCCTCAAAAATAAAAAGGACTGTCAGTGCTCTTTGGCACTGCTGAATATTTTTTGCAATTGGTCAGGAACACCTGGGACCCATTAGCATCCAAGGCTAAGGTGCATATAGCCACAAAATACCCATCTACATCCCTTATTCAAGAACCGTGGTTGGAAATCCCTGGGAACACTTAGCATTCTTCAGTAAAACCACAGATTGTGAGAGATTATATGAGAATAGCCAGGAACTCTTAGTATTCATTTCAGGTCAGCAGAATTACCAGGGAACAGTTGCCATTCATCAGTATTCATAGGCAAGATCCAGGAGCTCACAGGGAATATTCAGGAAAGTTCAGTATATCACATTCACAGGGAATCCATCTTCTGTTGAGCAGCTGGAGCTGGAAAAAACAGAGCATCTCCCAGTTTCAAGCCTGATGGATGATTTGGCACCTGAATGTGGGATGTGGACAAAACTCCAGACAGCGCAAATGAGATCATTTGGGTTCTCCACTAGAAGGGAAGCTCCTGAGGGACCTAACATGACCTGCTGCCCTGGACTGCTAGCAGAAGAGCCTGCTTGAAAGGTCTCAGGAGAGATGGACTTTGCCAGGGCTTGGCTCATTCCTTGCAAAGGAGCTCAGCCCAGGTCAAATGAAGTAAGAGTCAAATGAGATCATCCCATTGTGGGCAGGAGGTCCTGCCTTTAAGAAGGGGCCCAGTTTGCTTATCCCAGAGCATATCCCAAAATGAGAACCAGGGTCTGCCCTCCATCAGGACTCAAAGGAGGTCCTCCTAGCGAGGGAATGAGATCCTGCCTTCAGCCAGGGGTCCAAATAGATCCTAATTAGACGAGGGAAGGAGCAACAGGCAATTGGGATCCAAAGAGCTCATCACTGAGCTGGAACCAGGCTCTGCCCTCCACCAGGGCTCAGAGGAGGTACCCCAGAGGGGGAGGAAGGTTCTGCCTTCAAACAGGGGTCCAATTCATTCCTAATCAGACCTGAGAAGGAGCGGCAGGCATCCAGGGTCCAGTACATTCATCCCTGAGCCAGAAGGAGGTTCTGCAGGTGTCATGGGACATCCTGCCCAACAAGGTGCTGCCGTCCTGTGGTATTGAGATGGCCAAAGAATCAGACCCAGAAGGTGCTTGCGGGTGGCAGATGAGGCCATGGCACAGCTAAAAACAAGTTTCTGTCCTCACCCAGGAAGATGAGGAGGCCCTGCTGCAGCCAGGCCTGCCTTCAACTAGGGGGTCCAGTGCAGTCACCCCACAGCTGCCAGGTCCTGCCTTTGACCATTGGCCCTATGAAGTCCTGATCGAACACAGGGCAGGGGGTGGCCTGCAAGGAGGCTCAAAGGAGGCTCTAAGCAGACCCAGGGCAGGGAGCAGAAGTCCAATCATCCCACAGCCAGAACAAGGCCCTGCTTGAGAATGCAAAGTGGAGGAGGACATCCCACAGGCATGGGAATGGGAGTCACTGCACAAAGGGGAGTGCACATCAGCTCCTGGATGTTGCAGCTGGGAATGGGCCCAGGAGCGTGTCCAGCTCTGCTTCCTTTCTGTAATGCCTCAACGTAGCGCTAAGATACATGCTGACAAGGTGTTTTCTCAGACTGGGAAGAGTGAGAGGGGCCTGAAGGGCTGGAGCAATTGATATTCTGCCCCTGCTCCCTGAGGGATGGGCTCTGCCTTCAATCCATGGCCCCCCAAAAGACTCAACTCACAGCTGCAATGCGTGGGGGAGAAGACGGGCCTTTTCCAGGAGGTGACCCAAGCTCTGGGCCTCAGCACTTGCACAAAAATAGCTTGCCCACCATAATTCATCACATAAACACACACCCACGTGGCACGCATGCCCGGTCTCTCTGTGTCTCACACACACTAGGAGGGAGGCTATTTTTCCTGCAGCCTGGGAAGAAAGACAGTGACGAGTACCAATTACTTTCCTCCTTGAGTTCAGGGCGGTAATCAGATGGGCCAGGCATGGGAACTGGTGAAGTTTTTGACTGGATCCAAGCAGACCTGCTCCCAGGTACAGTCATTTTATTTTAGGATAATCAGAGGCCAAGAGTCAGGCTTCCTGAACTGGGAAAACATCCAGCGGGAAGAAGGGGATGTCTCTCCCCTCAACCAGGCATTTCTGCTTTTTCATGCAGCTGTAGGAGTTAAATCAGGGCTCACTATTTTAACTTGTGCACAGCTGAACATAGATCCATCACAGACTGGTGCTTCCCGGGTAGTTGCAGATTTAATTGATTCAGATGGGCATTCAAGTGGGTCAGCAAAGCAAGCTGTTCATTTGAGGCTGTGTTACTAGGTTTGGGCAGAATATTGTAGCTGCTGTCCCCGGTGACTAGGATGCCTTCTCACATGAGTACTTTGCTATTCATAGGGTGCTACAATATTCTTCTGATTATTGCCCTCCGTTGTGAGAAACACTGTGAAGGAGCATCCACCTCTTCCTGCACCTAAGCTGTGGGCATGGGCACTTGCCCACCCATGTAACAAAATCTACCCTTGCAGAAAAACAGACACCCCTCATACGCAGCTACAGGTGCTGGGGCTAGATGTGCATGCAGACAGACGGAAAGATGTCCAGCCCTGGATGTGTCCCTCGTGCAAGGTCCTTAGAAGTGACCCTGACATAGTACCGCGGTTCGACAGGAGCAGTCAGGTCAGCAGAGCTGCACGGAGGGAGCTGATAAGCAGGAGCATTTGGCATGCCATTTGTTTCCGTGTGCCCTTTCTCTTGCCTGTGTTGGTAGCACGAGTGCCTGGTGCTCATCAAAGCAGCAACACAATGGGCGTGTGGTAGGGAAGCTCCAGTAGGAAGGGGCGAGAGGAGCGAGAGCGAGGGCTGTGGATGCTAGAGTCCCGCCCGTCGCCTGGCACTGCCAGTGGGTCTCTGCCTCGGGTGGCTCCTGGTTTAAGCCAGCTGTGACCTGGCATGAGAGCATAGGTGAGTGTCCCCACAGATGCGAGCCCTTGTCTCACAATCCCCTAACAGGGCATTGCCCTCATCCCGGGTGCTGCCTGGCCCAAGGCTTCTGGGTCCAGCTTGGAAAATACGTTGTGAGGGAGATGGGGGTCTGCCATCAGGGAGCACTGCCGCTCATCCAAAGAGTCATTGGGTAGGCTGTGTTTGGCTTCGTAATGATCCTTCATATGATCCTGTTCTATCTCGTATGATCCTGTTCTGTCATTGCCAGGTGGCTCCTCAAGTCCCATGCACTCAGCCCTTTGCTTACCCAGTGATGGAGGCATCTTTCCCAGAATTTAACTTGTGACTGCAGCATGGCATGCAGCCCTCCCCGCATGCCTGCTCCCAGTGCGGTCAGCTCCTTGCACAGCGCCGAGGTCCAGCCAATTGCTAATGCAGAGCCGGGGGTGGCTGATTGGACATCGGGATGATTCACCCCCAGGTGAGCAAGGCTGGCATGTGGCAGGGTTAAGCCCTGCCCTACCATGACCCTCGAGGGTAGGGTGCACCCCATTTGGGGCACCAGGCTGCCTTTTGTACTGC